TTGATTCACAAACAAAACCGTCACAAATTTTATAAACTTACTATTTCTGATGTAAATTCCCAGTTTAAAATTATTTTAGTCTACTTCATTTTTTAATTGAAGTTCACACTATTTCAAAATTCACTAAATTTTTAAGCCCTCTCTATTACTCTATTATTATTTATAGCAAAGAAAAAGAAATATTCATTCGTTTGTATGTACAACATAAAAAATTACCAATAAAATTTAAATTCTGTTATGAAATACGGATACAATGAATTTTTCATTTTTCAATTAATTACACATAGTTTTATAGCAGTAATGTAAACGTCCAATCCATCATGCACTTTGTAAACGTATACACATTGACTTCAGCGTCTTAATTATAAATAGAAGCTGACGGGGAATAAGGGTGGACACGGTACGGTTCTGGGCCGTATCTAGTACCGGAATCGACGGTTCCGGTACCGCCACCCCTTGGTACCGGTACCGTGACCGGACCGGGCGGTACCCGGACCGGCAGTTCCGGTACCAGACCGGCCGGTTTTGGCCACCCCCAATTTATTTATTTATTTTTTAAAAAAATTAAAGTGTAAAATTGTAAATTTGCAATTGTTAAAGAAAAGAATGAAATAAAAAATCTAAAAATGTAGTTATTTAAATTTTGTAAAATAAGTAATACACGAACTGAAGAACAACTACATTTAATATCCTGACGGCTCAAAAAAAGCGATGAGGTAAAGAATCGTAAAGAAACTCTCGAAGGAGCTTATATATCGCTCACCTAAAAAAAACTAATTAAATATTTACATTAACATAAAAAAGTTTATAACTGATTCCTAAGAACTAAATGTAGTTGTTCTTCAGTTCTTCAGTTCGTGTATTACTTATTTTACAAAATTTAAATAACTACATTTTTAGATTTTTTATTTCATTCTTTTCTTTAACAATTGCAAATTTACAATTTATACTTTAAATATTTTAGAAAAAAAGCAAAAATAAATAAATAAATAAATTGGGGGTGGCTGAAACCGGCCGGTCCGGTACCGGAACCGCCGGTCCAGTCACGGTACCGGTACCGGAACCGGCCGGAATCGTACCGTGTCCACCCCTACTTATGACTTCTATTTTGGTATTTAAATAGTTGTTTACTCATATCTATAGAGTTCTCTCTTTATTTTGTTTGATTTCCAAAATTGTTTTACCAGAGAAATATTACAAATTTCAAACAAAAAATTCGTTTAATCTTGTGCGTCGCACGGGTTAAAATGCTAGTATATCTAAATTTGTAACATACTATCTCAAACACGCACAAAGATGGATTCTCTTTTAACTAAATTAGAGTTTTCTTACATATCTATTTGAGTCATTATTTAATTGAGTAATTTTTTAACATTTAAGTATTTCCAACATTTTCCAACTCCTTCCAATACCCAACTTTAAATTTCCTACCCAAAAGAACAAGACCTTAGAGTGATCGTAACAATGAACCCAAAAAATAATTTTAACAATGCTACATCAAATGTTAAAACTCACTAATTTTTAAAAATTTATTCGTGTAACAATAAACCTACAACACCAAGTTTAACAAAATATTTACATTTAAATAAATTAAACAAACTAAACTATTATATTTAATTTAATTAATTAAAAAATTCTTTAATTAAATTAAAAAAATACGGAGTACTACATGTAAATAACAAAAGGTAGAAATTAAGATAGATGGGGATTTGTGGGACCCACTCTTAAACCTAACTTTTAATTTGAAGAGCCAACTTCAAACAAAATTACCAACTTATCCAACCCTAATGGTTAAAGTTGAGTTCATGTAGGTTTTAAACCTCAAACCATCTCCTATTACAACCAACAAGAGAGATGGGGATTTGTGGGACCCTTTCCTCCTCTTAAACCTAACTTTTAATTTGAAGAGCCAACTTCAAACAAAATTGCTAATTCGCCCAATCCTAATGGTTAAAGTTGGGTTCATGTTGGCTTTAAGCCTCAAACCATCTCCCATTACAACCACCCCAACAAGTGCAAGCTTGCAGTTAGAAAAAACTTTTTAATTATAAGCAATCACATCAATGGTGAAAGTGCAATTTATAGTTTAAGACAATAGGGGCATTGGTGAAATTTACTATTACCTTATGGTGCAGGAAGAGTTACCACAATCAGGGGAAATTATCTTATTGCAAAGATTTTACATAAACAATATTACAACAGTCTATATGAAAGTACACTACGCAAGAAAACAAACTCACAAAGTGTACAGTGGTAAACATTGAGAAATATAATTATTTATGATGAACTATCTATGTATCATGTTTTCTATCAGAAGAGTTCCTTTGTTCTACCAGTTTGTTTCCAAACCTTTTGAAATGAAAAGGCTTTCAACATAATCGATGACTGGAGCTGCTGAAGCAACGTAACTTCTCATGTACATCGTTGCTGAAGCTTCTGAAATGACACAACACAAAATAGAGCAACAATGCTCAATGAACAATTTGCTAGGAATAGATATTGAGCCAGACCACTGAGCTAATTCAATGTCTTATTGAGAAAAACTAATGGCCCAAGTTCTAAAGCACTAGATGGCCGGCAAAGAGCATCAAGGTTGGGTAAGGCGAAGCAGAGCGGGGTCATTTCAGGTAAAAAGGCATAGGCAATCAAGTGCAGATAATCTATGAGAACGATGGTTTTACAAATTCGTCTCATAAGCCTAACTTACTTTGCGAGATAGTTGCAACCAAAACAACATAGAGGCAATCAAGCAGGGTCATTTTTAGTAATGACACATGTTCTAAAGCACTAGATGGGAAGCAAATAACATCTAGGTTGGGTGAAGTGAAGCATAGGTGGGGTCATTTTAGGGTAAAAGGGCATCCAAGTGGAGATAATCTATGATAACTATGGATTTTCAAGTAATGACCCGTGTTTAAAAGAACAAGATGGCTGGCAAATAGCATCTCGGTTGGGTGAAGTGGAGACTGGAGATAATATATGATAACGATAGTTTTACAAATTTGTCCCATAAGCCTAACTTACTTTGCAAGATAGTTGCGACCAAAAGGGCATAAAGGGCATATCTGGCGTAAAACTTGGAAACTACTTTTTTCCACGGACTTCAGGTGTTACTCTAAAATACAAGAACAACTACTACCCAGTTGAATCCCACGAGTAGGGTCTGGGGAGGGTGTGTATGCGGACCTTACCACTACTCAAAAGTAGAAAGGTTGTTTCCAAGAGACCCCCGACTAAAGTAACACAAAGCACAAGTTCACAGAAGACACATGAAGAAGAGAGAGCATACAACATAGAAAAATCCAAGAACAACAAATACTAATGAAAGGAAGCCATAGCAAGCAAAAAGCACCAAGCATAAAAACACGCAACAATAAGTGAAAAAACTACCATCCCGTCCAAAATGCCCACCCAGCTACCCTAATCTTAGCTCTCCAAATGTTACTATCTAAAGCCATATCCTCGACAAGGGTCAGAAGTGTTAAATCCTATCTAATCACCTTCTTCGAACTCTTCCTAGGTCTCACCCTTCCCTTACTCTCACCCAACACCCTGAGCTTCTCACACCTCCGCACTGAGGCCTCAGCACTCCGCCATCTTACATGCCCAAACCACTTCAACCTAGCTTCGTGTAGCTTATCCTTCACTCATGCCACTCGCACTCGTCCTTGGATAACCTCGTTTCAAATCCTGTCTATCTTTGTTTATCCACTCATCCACCACACCATCCGCATCTCTGCAAAATGTAGCCGACAAACAAGGATCTTCTTAACTACCCAGCACTTTGCACCATACAACAAAGCTCGTCTGACTACGGAGCAATAGAACTTATCAATAGATGTGGTAACACAATATTTCCATCAACTAAATTTAGAAAATGATGAATAACAAAATTTATTGAGCGTCGCTGCTTTAAATCTAGATAAATATCAATGGATTAGGATATTATCAATATAATGGCAAAAAACTATGAAACTATTGTAGTCTTGAAGAGGATAGGGAATCTTTAAGAGTGGAGTATAAGATTGCCCATAAGGAAGCAAAGCTAGAGGTGACAAGGGCGAAGAATGAAGCATTTGAATGTCTTTATAAGGATTTGGAGGAGCGGAGTGGTGATAAGAGGCTATTGAATGGCAAGTTTGATTCGTGGAGTAAGGCTTTGGAGTTGCACGGCTTGCGTATAAGTTGCACTAAAACAGAGTATATGGAGTACAAGTTTGGCAACGGAAAGAGAAGTAGTAACATCGAGGTGAAAGTTGGAGAAAATACTATACCAAAAGTAAAGAGATTTAAATATTTTGGGTGCGTCATTCAAGACAATGGAGAAATAGAGGATGATGTTAACCACAAAATTCATGGTAGTTGGACAAAATGGAGTGCTTCAGACTTTATATGTGACAAAAAATACCTTTAAACCTAAAAGGAATATTTTACCATACTGCGATAAGACCACAACTATATTGTATGGAACATAGTGTTATGGCATGTTCTATTCTGCTTGTTACTTATTACTTAATCCTATTGGAATCATGATTCCATCAGACCTTAAGAAATTCACATTAGAACCAATTAGATCAGACGAAGAAGAGAACAGACCTTGATTCTTTGACCGCATAAGGTTAGATCATATAACGCATCTACTATGATTGCAAATAGCCCTTTTAAAATATTTTGGATGCAGAAGTGGTTGAATATAATGAATGACCAATGTAACTTAGGCGAGGAAATAGAATAAAACAGAATTTATCTCACCATCTTCATTGAGCTTCTTTAAGAGTTGTGCCTTGGTAGGAAGAGCATACATTCCTGCAGCTACTGCCTTCCTTATTAGCCATCCATGGTGAGGAGAAAAAACTTGTGCATAAGCTTTTGAAGCTGGATCCATTAGAGAATTTTCCCTATCAAATCAAGAAAAACCATGTACTGAGTTTCATTCATATACAGTGTTAGCAGATTGAAAAATTAGTTCCAACCTAAAAGGCCTGATAAGAAGAGTAGCCTAAGACCTAACATGTTGATTTGTATTTTTATATAAATGCAGGCCTGCATGGTGGCTTGACATGCCACCACCGGATAGTTTGTTGAGGTAAAACCGATCTTGAAGTTCAATGTACTAACTTCTGAAGCTTACTATGATCAAATTATTTGTTTGTGTAATTGGGGACTTTGATATCATTTTGAAACTTGAGGTTTCATCATAAAAGTTGTAATGTTATAGGATGGAGACTTTCCTCCCACAAGTCCAAAACAGTGGAACAACCAGAATATAATTCGGTAATTGTTTCCGAATAATCCAAAATAGGACTAGACACCTCAAGGACGGGCGGGCTGCCTAGCAAAATTTGGAACATTGGTTTTCATGTAAAATTACTCCCTTTGTTTCCAAATTAAATTCACATTTTTCTTTTTTCATATGCCCTAAATAGATGTCACACTTATCTCCTTTCCTTTTTATGGAGAGATTAGCACTGACACATTTAACCTTAAAAGCAGAACATACCCAGAGGCCAAAATGTGGTCAAACAAAACTTTAACCATATCTATCCCACGCTTCACCCTCAGCAGATTCCTTGTATGACTGCCAGCATTTCTTACACAATTTCCTTCGATGTCTAAGTCTATCATTTCTCTTAATGTCGCAACAGACTTTGATGCATCCGCTAGATCTTCAACCTGTCACCAACGTCATAGAAACTCTACACTCATATTTACATTTCAAAATCAAATACAGAAAAGAAATATGGTAAGCAAATGTCTTCTGGTATAGGCCTCACATTTGGATAATTGCTCGTTTGCATCCATTGCAACTAAATTGGTAAAATTTGATCAAATGGACACGCAAAACGAATGTTTATGAGCCAGATCATATTGCAATGATAACAATGACTAGGAGAGTGCATGAGCATTTGTTAACAGGGAAAATTCAAACGTTTTGGGAGTTCATGTTTGTGATGCCTTTGAACTCTGAAAGTAACCAATCACATTGGAAACTTAAGCATATCACGCCTAGCAATTAAACTTTAAAGGAGTATCACTTCTTTGAAAATTGGGTTTAGGATGAAACTTCATTTCCACTAACGCGTTGGGGTGGCTGTAAAAAAAAAAGATCCTAACATAGACAAGGGAAATTTTATGTAAAGAGTGGACAGGTTCTTTTTTTCTTGAGAATTTAATTGAAGAGGAAGTAGCAAAAGTTCCCCTTATAAGTGTCTATAAAAATGATAAAGTAAAATTTTCTACGAAAATGAAAACAGTAAAATTGCAATGGAAGGAGTTTAGTTCATCTCCTTCAGTTCTGAAGTTACAGGTGGGTTGGTATTGTATTTTGCTTTCCAGTAAGCCCTAATGGAATGTTGTGTGATCAACAATGAAGTACTCTGCATATTTTTAGTAGAAATTTACAATAGAGATGCATACATTTGATTATAAATCGTTAATATAAGACTGAATGGATGGGTTTTAGGATGAAATTGGGAGTTGGAAAAATAATACTTAATCGATGAAGAAATGAAGGGGACATACGAATACATATACCTTGGCTACATAATCGAGCTCGGCAAACTTGAAGGCGATGCCGAGGCAGGCGAAGAGAGGGGAGACATGAGAGCAGGCACTAGAAAATGCGCCCACTTGGATCTGCTGCGCTTCTTCACCAGACTGGGAAGCGATGCACTTTGATAGGTCTGTGAAGGCCTCAGCCATCATCCTCAACGGCTTTCCTTTCTCCGCCATTGAAAAGAATTAGCCAAGCTTGAAGCTCCTCTCTCTCCTCCTCTCTTCAAGTCATTGGTAAGGTACCCCAATTTTTTAAAAGACCAAACACTATAGGTCCTTTAACTTTATCAGTTGTGCATGATTGGTCCTTCAAGTTTCAAAAATTCATGAATAGTCCTTCAACTTTATAAGTTATGCACGATTGGTCCTTCAAGTTTCAAAAGTCTATAAATAGTCTTTCAAGTACACGTCACTCCTTCAAATGAGGTCCTTTTGACGGTAAACGGTAAAAGCTAAATGGAGTACTAGCTTCATATAATACGGAGTAGTCGTACTTAGTGGAATTTTCTCGTATTATATGGAACTAGTATTCCAATTAGCTTTTAATGTTTACTGTCAGAAAGACCTAATCTAGAGAACTGATGTGTACTTGAAGGACTACTTATGAACTTTTGAAACTTAAAGGACCAATCGTGCATAACTCATAAAGTTGAAGGACTATTCATGGACTTTTGAAACTTGAAAGACCAATCGTGCACAACTCATAAAGTTGAAGGACCAATGGTGGAATTTAGTCTTTTTAAAAAGAAATCTATTAGAGTAAAAAACTATAAAAATATTAAAATAACTTTATATCAAAATAGGAGTTCTAAATCTTTTAAGATCAAAATAGAAATATAATGACACTGTGATGTAAAAATATGCATTGGCATTGTAATGAAAAAGTGATAACAGCGTAATATATTTGTGTCGATGCGGCACTCTGGCAATGATGATAAAATAACAGTGTAATGACAATGTGGCAATGATGATAAGAAATTACAATGTGACAATGTCGTAAGTCTGACACTGTAAGAATGATAGTGTGAACTCCTATTTTGGTCATAGAAAAGTTGTGACTCATGTTTTGGTATTTTTATAGTTTTTACTTCAATCTAGACAGTTCTACCTTTTAAAAATTCTTCCTCCATCCAAAAATTATATTCTCATTACGCGTTATGATATTTGTCTGAAGTTATTTTCAATTCATTTTTATGAAGATTGTTGTTGATTTTAAAAAAAATTGCATACCTAAAAACTACATCAAAACATCTACAAAACTAGATGTGACATAATTATATAATTTTATCAAATAGACAACGAAAATAGATAAACAAAGTGAATAAATTTTGACAAAGTGAATAATGAACAGAAAGATAATATTTGGACTGGGGGAGATTGTGCAAATTAACCACCCAGACAAACTGTTTTAGACTGGGTCTAGTGTAGTTTGCTGAGTTTAAAGAATGAAAGGTCTAGGAAAATAGAGAATGAGCGGTAAGACTGTAGGTGGAAACACCTCTAGTCCAATTGTTATTAATTATGTATAGAGTGTTGGGCGCTATTACAATATGAACTCTAGAGAAATAAAATTCGGATCCCTTCGTTTGAGGGTTACACAGGTTAAGGAAATGGAGGAGACAGAGCGCCGTGCATCCACATCAGCCCACGTTCTCAGATGGTGCGAGGTCACTTCCTCTTGTGCCGTAGCATTTTGTCTTATTCCCTTGTCAGCTTGTGATGATGACTCCTTCTTTGGCGTGTAGCGCCAACTAAGATTGAGGGAAAATTTTCTAAATCTTTGGTTGAAATCAGTCACTACCATCCAACAGACTTTAGAGTTATTCGTGCTGACACTTTCACACCGTAGTAAACTACCCAGCATGTTTACCTCCTGCATTTCGAAGGGGCAGAAGACCATCAACTTGAAGTCACGTACTTTTGACCGGTGAGTCCAAAGTTTGTACCGGTCAACTTTTTTGAATCTGAATGATACTCTATTTTTAGCACAAATCTTTCATTCCAATATGTTCAAATCTTCCACTCCGGATCCTAGGTGAAATACACTCATCAATAAGTCCTCCACTTCTCAGCATTGTAAATTTATCAAGGGCGAGAAGTGAAAATTTAGAATCTGGCGCTTGAAATTTGAATTTTAAACTTTTCCCGCCTACACTTTTGAATTTTGAATTTCAAAAATCAAAATTTCAACACGTGTCGCGCTCTTTTAGTACACCATCATTGTGTTTTGCCTCTTGTTTCGCCTTCCCATGTGCCACGCGTGCGCCGGTTGACGCTTCGTTTCCTCTGCCTGCCACACGTTGCGCCATCCTCCTCCTCGCCTATATAAAGGCTTTCTCCTCCCTTCTTCAGGTCACTTTTCACAAATCCGCTCTCGAATTCTTCCCGGTCAAGTACTTTATCATCCCTCCGAGTCTTCTATCTTCCAAGTAAGTTCACGGTTCTTCTTTGCTTTCCATTACCAATTATGTCTTCTGAAGATAGCCAAAACGTTTCTGTTGCCTCGTATGCATCTCTATCCAAGGATTCCACCTGTCCTCTTATTTTTCTTCCTCTTCACATTCTTCATCTCCTTCTCGGGAGGGGCCGGTTCCCGAGGGTATTCCAATTCCCAAACCTGCTCCTATTAACCAGGATCCAGGTCCCTTTGACCCTAACAATGAGACCCAGCAGGTTATTTTCCCCTCCCTTCAGATAATGTTAGGGAAATTCCCATGATTGTTTCCAAAGTCGCCCTGACTAAGGTGCACCGGTTGCTCCTCGAGGATTATACTCTTCAGTATTACCCTAATTGGCCTAACATTATTGAACCACACTGGGGATGTAGGTTAGGATTCCACATCAAGTCTCTGAAGGATGGCATAATTTTTCCTCTCCACCCCCTTCTGGTTGGGGCCTGCCATGCCTTTTCTTTTCTTACCGGGCAGATAACCCCAAATGTCCACCGAGTATTAAACTGTTTTGTGAATATTTGTTAATTCCTTCGAATAAATCCATCTCTTTCCCTCTTTGTCTTCATGTTCGAAATCCTCCTCGGTTAAGGCGGGCATGAGGGTTTTGTTTTCTTTAAGTTCCGCAAAAATAGGGTGTTCATTTCTGACCTCCCCTAGAGTAACTGGGGGTGGAAAAACCATTTTGTTTTCATTGACTTCCCGGAAGTCGATTTTCTACTGGCAGGTTTGCGGCGGAATGATCACTTGTTAAATCACGAGTACAGTGTATCAGCCAGTACCCCATAGTTGGAAAGGGATTGTGAAACACTCATGCAGGGCGATCCTCACACCGGGGTGAAATTTTCCTTCGGAAGCTGTGCAGGGAGAGTTAACTGGGGTGGTGAGGGTACCTCGAATGCCCATGAAGCAGGGGGCACGGGGTATCCTCCTCAGGCTATACTGGAGAGGCCGGGTGTCATCGTCACTCATGTTCAACTTCCTTCTTTTAGTTTATTTTTGATTTTGTACCGGCCTTTTGTTCAGTACTTGACCAATTTATCCTAATCTTTCGGATATGGAGTTCGATTCTTATGAAATTCAGGAGACGACCGGTGCGTCTGGCCCAAGTGGCTCCCAACTAACTCCTTTTACATATTGTTACGCCACTACCTATTCTTTATTGTGATAGTCAATAAGTTATCTGTCTCACCAAAAATTTGGTGTTCCATAAGCGCATGAAACATGTGGGCACAGATTGTCATTTTGTTCGAGAGCAAGTTATTGATGGGTCCATGAGTGCTAAACATGTTGCTTCTAAGGATCAACTTGTGGGTTTCCTGACCAAGCCGCTGACGTCACAGCGCTATAAGACTCTCGTTTCCAAGCTTCCTCTTGCTTCTGCTCAACTCAGTTTAAGGGGGGATGTTACCAAGAATATTACTTAATTATAATTAGTTGTGGACCTCTTGTGATATTAGCCCAATCTATCTCGATATATACTCTGTAAACATTATTTGTCTAATTGAGATATTCATTCAAGTTTCAATATTGACAAACAATATACTTCAAAGTGAGATATGATTCACGCAAGCTCTCTCTAAGAAAAAGTATATTTAAAATAATCACATTGAGTTTTTCTTGTGTTTATTAAAAGTTAAAGTTTGATGCAAATAATCACACAAGAACAAGAATGTACTTAAGTTGAGTTATATATGCACCTCTTTTAAATATACATCTTCTCTCCCTTTTGTCAAAATAAAAAAGGGCATTCAAAGAATTTAAACATGTATATCTTCTTAAAACTCTCCCTCTATCAAAAGAAATTTTCAAAAAAATGATTGTTCGGGAATCATTGAGTAAAAGGTACATTACAACAAAACTTCTCTTAAAACAAAAAAAAATCCCCCTAAATTAATGCAAGTTTTAAAAACTTATTTTTAAGAGAATTTTCATTTTTAAAAAAAAGTATGATCAAAATTTAAAAAATACATGATCATGCAAACAAGGCTATGAACAAAGTGGATCACATATGTGATAAACTTTTAGTCTAAAAGATTAACAAAAAAACTCTTATCCCAATAAGTATGAACAACTTACATTAGCTTATGTCGTTCTTTCATCCGCTTAGAAGGCTTGGAGTATTTTATAAAATTTTCTTTCCTCTTAGTGTATTCTTTAATAAATTCTTAAAAATAACGTCAATCGAATATCATAAACCAAAATAGACAATTTAAATTGGGACAAAAAGAATAATTTTTATTTTTAAATTTTATACTAATTCACTTAAACTGATTCTAAAATAACTTCAATAAAAAAATCATAGATCAAATCTAGAACCTTCTTATGAGACAGACGGATTGAATGATTTGTAACAATTTTGGTTTTGACATTTTCTAAACTTTGAATTGATAACCTTGTCAATTTTCAAAAGTACTTTACAAAATTTAAACGGCACATTTAAAAATAATAAAGTTCCTATTCTTTTAGTCTAAATGTATTCCGCGACCATCAAGTAGTGATCCAAATAACAATTAGGACTATGCTATGTGTACCCCAAGGTTTGTACCCCAATTTGTACCTCGCAGTTTTGCACCAATAATTTGTGTTAGTGTAAAACTAATTTTTGTTAAACGCACCAACATTTGTGTCCGTGTGAATTTTTATTAACACACCAACACTTGTGTCGGTGTAAACCATCGAAATGTTTGTGCAAACCTGTGGTGTACAAATGGGGTATATTTTTTGGTGTAAATGTAGCATGGTCCTAACAATTATGATAGAGTTATTATTGCTAAAAAAAAAGTAGCGATCTAAATACAAACGTTCAGCCAAAATTGCAACAATACATTGGTTTTTAGAATTTTCGCCCAAAGGAACACTTAAAATATTTAAAGCAGAGAAAAATACCGCTACACTTGCAGCAATTTCACACCCCTTAAACATGAAAAAATATACTATTTATCATGAACCCAAAGAATTACATTAAGTCATTAACCACATGTGTA